ATGGAATTGAAGTAGGTACTATTCCTATCAAGTGTGACAATACTAGTGCTATTTGTCTCACTAAAAATCCCATCCAACACTCTAGAACTAAACACATTGAAATAAGACATCACTTCATTAGAGACCATGTCACTAAGGAAGATGTAGTTCTAGAATTTGTTGATACTTTGCACCAATTAGCGGATATTTTTACAAAACCCTTAGATAAAGAAAGATTTTGGACACTTAGAAGAGAATTAGGTTTAACTGACCTATCTTCACTTAGTGTTTAAAATAATTTAGCACTTTTAATAAATACTGAAAAATGCTTATAATAATAATTTTTGATTGTATTCTTGCTATTAGTTAGGGGGAGTTTATGATTCTTAATAAAATTAATTTTATGTTCAAATAAAGTTTGAAGATTAATTTGATTGATTGAACATAATTAATTTTTGATATATATGAGTTGCCATTACCATTAGAGCCAAATTATTTAGCATTTTAAGTGTTTAAAATGGATTTTTGACATTTCTGCGCTTCATGCACCGATGCATTTAACAATGCATCGATGCATCCTTGAATATGCATCGATGCATAAGACCATGCACCGATGCATCCGTCGGGTTTTAGGTTTAAAATCTTCATCTTCTTCATTTTTCTCAAAACCTAAAACACAAACTCTCGGCCGTTCGTCCCCCTCTCACCTCAAATCTCTATTTTTGCTCAAAATCTTCGGGAAAACATCGGATTCTTCAAGTTTTTCATCCTACAAACCTGCTACACTCATTAAATCGCGCAAAACATCTCCTCATTCCCCTCAATCCGAATTTTTCAAGGTATTTTCACAAAAACTCTATTTCATTAAATTTTTGAACTTAGGACTAGTTTAGATTAGTTCTAGTTTGAAATAATTATCGGACATTGGCTATATGATGATTCTAAACTAGTTTCTACAACGAATTTCATCAAAAACGCATAATTTTTCAAAATTATTTGGAAATTTCGAATTCAAAAAAAAAATTTATTATTATTATTTCGAAAATTATTGATTAAATTGTGTTGTTTTCATGAAAACTATGCGTATTATGATATTAATTTTAAATAGTTTTCAAAACTTTGCCCATTAGGATTATGTTACAGAACCTTGAATTATTGAGGACTCATTTGAGTTTTGGGATTGAATTTTGTGCATACATGTGTTTTTAAATTGCAGGTGATATTTCTTTTCTGATTTCCCTAACCATGTCTAATCCCAAATGCCCTAGATCATCCTCGAGTCGGTCTCACCAAAACCGTCCTCCCGCTCCTAGACCTCAAAATCCATCCAATATTCCTTCATCCCTCATTAGTACTTGTTTTAACATGCCTAAAAACCGTAGGGATGAATTGTACTCTAGGTACATGAACTCCTTCCAATCCTATCGTATTAGGGAAGAGCGTATTCCTTCTCTACAAGCTATGATAAAACTTGAATTTGAATACCTCTCAATTCTTCGCTGATGGAAGTTTGATAAACTATTTTCTCTTCAACCCATCGTCTTTCACCAACTTGTCCGCATCTTTTATTCCAATGCGGTTTGTATTCAGAACACAACTCAGTGCGGTACTATAGCGATTAGATCCTATCTTTTAGGACAATATATCACTATTACTTCTGAATCCATCGCATCTCATTTTGGTTTAGATGACGAGGGTTTATTTAATGAGAAAGAAGATGTGGAATATCCATATCTTCCTAATGCTAGTGTCAGTACCTTTAGGTCTCACCACGATCGATTTCTTCACTTAACTCTTGGTGGTTTAGACCATCCGTAGGTCGGTACTCCACACTACGTACTACAGACTTATGGTGGATGCACTGTATAAAGAACAAAAAGAAAATCAATTTTCCACATATTGTCTTTAGCGCGCTTGTCGATATCATAAACATCATTCCCTCAAAGCATGTAGAAACCCTACCTTATGGTTGTCTACTAAGCAATTTGTTTATCAAACTCGGCCTAGATGTCTCCCTTGACAATCCTATTCCGCTCCAAAACCCAATCAATATCACATCCTTAAAGAAATCGGATTGGAAATTGGATGAGAACACCGGACTATGGTCTTTTCGACCCGGTAAGCAAACCCTGGGAGCTAGTTCTTCACGAGCTGCTCCTAGTTCTTCTCGTGCTCCTCCTCCTCCTCCAGCTCTTGACGCTGATAATGATCCAGAGCTTCAAAGGCTTATGAGAGATATTGACGAGGAAGTACCAGCTCGGCAAGATGATCAAACGCCACCTTATTTCCAATCTTTTCTAGAGTCATTTGATCTGCGTTTTGCTTCCATGGAGTTTACGATTACTGAGTTTCAGAGGGAGATGCGTGATCGTATGGATGCTCTTACTCTTGAAGTTAGAGCTCATTATCCTCCTCCTCCTCCCGATTCCGCTATGGATGATTAAACGTTATTTGATGATATTTGGTTTTAAACTTTAAGAACTTGGATTGTTAAACTTTTTGATATGAATGTTTATGTTTGTTTGGATGCTTGAATGTTTGAACTTAATTTTAATATATTTGGTTTGAATTTTATTCATTTTTCATCATTAGATATATGACCAATTATGCCATTTCACATTTTATTATGAATATTGTTTATGAAAACTAATGGCTAATCTCTCTTTTGATTGTGATCTTAGCAGCTTATTATTAATAAATCAATTGGCTAATGTTTTTCAAAATTCTTGTTTAAAATGTTTATATAGAGTCTTTTTTATTTAACAAAAAGGGGGAGAAAATTTAAGATGTGCTATAGATGTGCTATAGTAAGGGGGAGTAAGTTTTTCAAAATCGATTTCAAAAATAATTTCTTAAACAAATCTTAAAATTATTCAAATGTTTTGTTATATCAAAAAGGGGGAGATTGTTGAAAACATTTTTGATATTTCGATATAACAAATTAAGTTAAATGAATTTTAAGATTTCACAAATGATTTTACAAATTCGATTCAATTAACCGAATATCAAATTATTACTCCAAGTTTTTCAAGATCAATTTTAATCCTTACTAAATGTGTAAAATTGTGATTTGTACTTAAACTATTTTTGAAACAATTTTCACAAAGTATTTTGAACCAAAAACAAGCCTTAAATCAATTATTCAAAGGCATGCACCGATGCATCAGTCCATGCATCGATGAATAAATTGAACATCGAATGCATTCCATGCACCGATGCACTCTCCATGCATCGATGCACTCTGAATATTTTCAAAACATCGAATGCATTTGATGCATCGATGCACAAGCCATGCATCGATGCATCAGGCTATTTTTCAAACATCGAATGCATTTCATGCATCGATGCACACTTGGTGCACCGATGCATCAAGTGTTCCAACGGTCAAAATATTTGAATTTTACACGAATGCACCGATGCATACTTGATCATGCATCGATGCATGAGACGCTCCACCTAGAAAAATTAATTGTTTTCACACTTAAACGGCTCTATTATCCCCACTAATTATCACCAACGTTCAGAATTGATTCAAGGGGTATTTAAACAAGTTCTGGAGCCATTGATCAATAACAAGAAACATCAATCAACTAGAATCAAGAGAGAATCAAAGAGAAAGCATCAAACCTCAAGTTTGAGTATTTCAAGCCTATTTTTCATCCAATATTCATTTGCTTTCAAGAACACTTTTGTACTTAATTGTATTTATCCTTGAGTGTTCTTTTCTTGTTCTAGAATTGTGCAAACATCTTACCTTGTGAGGTTTTCTTGTAAGTTTGCAAATTTGTAATCTTCTCTTTGGGAAAAAGAGTGTTCTCAAGAGTTGGGGTATACTCTTGAGGGAATTGTAAGGTTATCTCTTTGGCCTCAAAAGAAAGAACAAATTAGTGAATTTTTTGGAAAATCCTTAGTGTGGATAGCTAAGGTAGTGGACGTAGACTTTGTTTGAGAAAGTCGAACCACTGTAAATCGCTGTGCAATTACTTTCAATTTTCTGCAAAAGCTTCCACAAAAATTTTAATTGCCAATTCACCCCCCTCTTGGCCGATTCCTTCAATCGATTAACTCAACATATAGACAATAGTTGATTCTTAAATAAGCTATATAAAGGGGTTGTGGTCCCCAAGAAATAGACATTCTAGTATTTACTCTTATCCCCGTCAAAGAGTTTATACTTAAGGGAACTCTATCTTCTTAGAAGATCCCAACCAGAGAAAGACTCAAGGATTTCAACCTATCAGTTTATTCGTCTGCATTCTAGTATTTATTTTATTCTTGATGATTTGACATGATTTGATTTTGATTTGTTTTCATATTTATTATGATTTAGTTCTAACATGAGCTTCATACAATACGAGACTTATTTAAGATATATACTTTATATATTATTTTTGGATATTGTGTAAGGATTCTAAACATTACTTAATTAATTTATGGTTGTGATATGTGATAGTCAGGAACGAAGCTATATAGGGAGTAGGAGGGGCTCTTGCCCCTTCCAAAATTTCTGGTTTAATATCATTTTAGGTTTTTATTAGTTTAAATTTAAGTAAAATTAGACTTTCCCCCTAAATTTTTAGATTAAATACTTAATAAATCCTTATTATTTTGAAATTAAGTACCTTGTCCCTCCTAATATTTGATTATCACCTTGTGGTGTTAGTGATGCATGATTAGTACTTAGTCTAAAAGTAAATGAAATATAATTAAATATAGATTGTGAAAATTTAAATTCATTCGAGATGATCATTTAGGTGAAAATGATTTCTTTCAATGATTAAAACCTAAGTTTTAAATTATTTTTACTAACATAACACATTATTTAACAATTTAATAATTAGATTATAATAAATCAATAATATAAATACCAAAAATACTTTTTTTTATTTCGATATTAACAAAATCCAAAAAGATAAACTCTCTATTGCACTATTGCAGCCAGCCAAACATAAATTTTTTTACTGTAACTTTTGAATAAATGTAGTATGATATTTCTTAGGTTACGAAAAGGTAATTTAACACAGAGAAGAGCTCTCTCTCTCTCTCTCTCTCTCTCTCAATACACCAAAAGCGTTAAATCGACCCAGAGCTTACTCTTCTTCATCTTTAATTTTTATCTGGAAAAATGGTAAGTTTAATTTATTGATCTTTTTTATTTCGCTTTGGATCGGTTCAAATACGTTTGATTTATATTCCTTCTCCGATTTCTGTTTAATAAGGGAGGACTTTTGAATTATGCTCGATTTGAGTTTTATTGGCTTTGGAATTTTTTCTTTTCTTTTATCATTTCATTTCTATCCAGCTGGGATGGAGAGTTGGGGATTTTAATCTAGTTTAGATCTGCCGCGTGAACTTTTTTTTTTTCACTTCGGAAATTAATGCGTCGATTTTGAATTTTGATTTATTGGCCTCCTTTGACGAGTTTGCTTTAAGATTTGTTACTAAATTTCGACTAATTATGTAATTTTTCTTTTTTGTGTTTAACAGCCACTCAGACTCGAAATTAAGGTATGTGTTGTTCATTTAATTTGAGTTCAGTTTTATCTGTGCGGATTAGAAATTATTATTATTGTATGAATGTTTGCTAAATTCTGCGAGTAATGTTCTTAATGGTGATATTTGTATCAGAGGAAACTTGCTCAAAGATCAGAGAGAGTAAAATCTGTAGATCTTCATCCAACTGAACCATGGTAACTTATATCATTTATTCAGATTCCTATGTTTTTGAATTTAACATTCTCAACATTGAAGGCTAAATTTGTTCCGCTGTAATTGTTTTTGCAGGATTCTAGCAAGTTTGTATTCTGGAACTGTTTGTATCTGGAACTACCAGTCACAGGCATGGGAGTTTTACTGATTGTCATTATGGCTGTGAAAACTATAATATCATACATTTAATGGTTACAATTATTGTCTAAAACTTAGTTAGATAAATGTCTTGTTTGCTTCATTTTAACAATATTTTCTTCATATTATATTTTTTAAGGCGTGGCTAAACGAACCAATTATGAAATGTTAATGATAGAGCTTGATTTTATGTGAGAAACTATTTTTGGCATATGGATGATTATTTCCTCTTAAGGTATTTCTCATTGGAAGAAAATCAGTCTAAGGCAGCCTTAATCAGGACTAGATTTTGTAGAAAGTAAGGATTTAGGAACAAATATCAAAGTGATACACTAAATTTCTTGATTGATTAGAAGAGAAGTGCAAGCCTCATTTAAATAGGTTGAGTAGAAGAGTTTAAATATAACTGCAAGTACTCCTAGATAAGGTTCTATCCTATTTAGAAAATAAAAGAATAAAGTTATAGTTAATCAAAACTACTAAATAAAATAAGATAAGAGTCATAGTTAATCTAAACTACCAATTGAAATAATTTACTACTACACACTCCAGTAATCTATACTACCCCTTAAGCTAAGTATATGTTAAATATTCCCAGCTTAGATGAAAATTCATCTAAAACTGGTCTTGGAAGAGCTTTAGTAAAGATATCGGCCAATTGATGCTTTGTAGAAATGTAATTGAGTTAAACTACTCCTGTACTTACTTTTTTTTAGATAAAATGCCTATCTATCTTCACATGTTTAGTGCGATCATGTTGGACAAGATTCTTTGCAATACTAATAATAGATTGACTGTCAGTTTGCAACTTGAACTGCTTACAACCTTCTAATTTCAATTCGGGCAACATTCTTTGTAACCACATGCTCTTACAAATTCTTAGTGCAAGAGCTCAATATTCGACTTCTGCACCACTCCTTGAAACCACAACCTGCTTCTTACTTCTCCAAGTAACTAGATTTCCCCATAAAAAGGCACAATGCCCACTCGTTCATCTTCGGTCAGTGAGTTCACTTCCCCAACTCGAGTCAGTAAAGACTTTAATTGACCTTTCTTCACTTTTCTTAAATAACAAGCCATTTCTTGGAGTTGTCTTCAAATATCGTAAAATCCTGTGTACTGCATCAAGGTGTTCCTCACTTGGATTATTCATGTGCTGGGTAACAACACTAACTGAGAAAGCAATGTCAGGTCGTGTTAAAGACAAATAAATCACATCCAAGCACACCGGTTTTTGTCAAAAGATCGAGTATGTATTTCCTTTGACAGATAACAATCCTAGCCTTGGATATTGCAACTTCCATTCCCAGAAAATACCTAAGACTAATGAGATCTTTGGTTTCAAACTCCTTGGCTAGAGAAATGTTTAGCCTCTTTATTTCTTCAACATCATCTCCGATGACTATGTCATCCACGTACACAACCAAAATGGTTCTTTTTCCATTTTCATTTCCCTCAATGAATAAAGTGTGGCTTGTTTGACATTGCTTAGAACCATATTCAATTATCTCTTTGGAAAACTTGTTGAACCAACCCCTTGGAGATTGTTTTAAACCATTCAACGATTTCTGCAACTAGCACACTTTATGGATTGTCGAGTCTTTCTTAATGCCGGGAGGAATTTCCATGAACAAGTCTTCACACAAGTTGCCATTCGAGAAGGCATTTTTTATGTCTAATTGATGAAGTGGCCAATCCAAGTTCACAGCTAAAGATAATAAGAACCTCACTGTGTTTAGCTTCACAACTGGAGCAAAGGTCTCTTAGTAATCTATACTGTAAGATTGTGTGAACCCCTTTGATGGTGAAGACCCATTTGCATCCCACTGGTTTCTTTCCTCGAGGTAAATCTGGCAAAGTCCAAGTTCCATTCTTTTCAAGGGCTCTCATCGTTTCCTCCACTGTTTTTCTCCATCTAGGATCGCCTAGAGCCTCTTCTATTGTCCTTGGAGCTGCTGTACTGTTAACACTTCTGTTGTGAAAGCCTTGAACGCAGGCATCAAACGATTATAAGCAACATACTTTTGTATGGGATGAGCAATACACTTTCTTACACAGTACCTTTGAGCAATCGACAAATCATCAGTAATAACAAGAGGAATAGGATTTTCACTAGGAGAAGGTTTCTTACCTTCCAATTTTTTTATGGTAATTGGATTCTAGTCCAATTTTTGGTAACTACTATGTTGTAGAGTGGATTTCTCTCTCCTTTTGTAGACATTAAAGTCCCTTCTTTGAGGTGTTTAGGAATGCAAGGTATTAGTTTTTTGTGGAGGCATAGAATGAATGTGTTTGAGTAGAAGGATTTGGAGAAGGCTGTATAAGTGAATAGGGAGGTTCAGGATTGAGATGTAAGATTGCAGGGAGGTTCAGAAGCTAATATCAGTTGAGATGTAAGATTGGAAGACAAACCTGTCAAATGTTGAAGGCTGTCAACATCCATAGAGACATAGGTCCTTTTGTAACAGGAGAATAACATTTGTAACATCCTGAAATAGGTTTTAGAAATAGAGATCAAAGTGATACTCTGAATTTCTTGATTGATTAGAAGAGAAGTACAAGCCTCATTTAAATAGGCTGAGTAGAAGAGTTCAAATATAACTACAATTTCTCCTAGAGAAGGTTCTATCCTATTTAGAAAATAAAAGCATAAAGTTATAGTTAATCTAAACTACTAAATCAAATAAGATAGAGTCATAGTTAATCTAAACTACCAAATCAAATAGGATAGAGTTATAGTTAATCTAAACTACTAATTCAAATAATTTACTGCTTCACACTCTAATATTCTACAGATTTTGTCCGTTCGGCTTGAATTGACTCTTTGGTTTGATTATGACTAATCCATTTCTTGTTTCATCATTTCTTTTAAGGCCACAGTCCTCTTCATTTTTGTCGAAATCATAAGCACAACTCCTTATTCCGCATTATTTAGATTGTATAGCTCTCATCTATTTCTATTTTATGATTAAACTATCATCCTTAGTATTGTCTATAAGTGCTATATTATATGCTTAGTCACTAGCTTAACATTCTGCTTAAACCTGAGGAACATAGAAACATGTATCTTGTCTGAGCCCTATGTATATGACTTGCCCTTTATCTGTAAAACCTTTTATTTTGATAACTTATTCCTTTTGTTTCTTTTATGAATACTACTTCTTTTGTCTGCACTTTTTGACTTAAGTGTTTCATAATGTAAGGATGTAGAAATTACTAGTAGTTTCATGGAACTTAATTGGTATGAGATTTTTAGTTCTGTGCATCTTATTTAAGTAGTATTAGGGTTATTTTGAACTTTTATGGTCGTAATATCTTGAATTTGAATTTTTCACTTATTGTTTAGTGTTAACTTTAACCGTCTTTGGTGGACAGGCCATGGCTAAGTCGTTTGAGGTCACTGAGTTGCCAGGTTTGTATTCATCTATGATTAAAATGCACTTATCTCAGTATGATGATACTATGTTTCAATCTTTGTTTCATCATGATGAAGTCATTATCATTCTCTAAAGTGGACCTCTTGTATTTGCAGTTAGGTCGGCCAAGTTTGTTGCACGCAAGCAGTGGGTTGTTGCTGGTGCTGATGATATGTTTATTCGTGTATACAACTACAACACCATGGATAAGGTCAAAGTATTTGAGGCACATACTGATTACATTAGATGTGTGGCTGTCCATCCTACTCTTCCATATGTGTTGTCATCATCTGATGATACGCTCATAAAACTTTGGGACTGGGAGAAGGGTTGGGTGTGTACTCAAATATTTGAGGGACATTCCCATTATGTCATGCAAGTGACCTTTAATCCCAAAGACACTAACACTTTTGCTAGTGCATCTCTTGACCGTACGATAAAGGTATAAAGTGCCTTTCTGTTTTCAGTTTTTTTTCATGATTTCTTATTTCATTTGATATAACCATGCTAAATTTCCTTGTCTCTGTTTGAAATTTCTAGATTTGGAACCTTGGTTCACCTGATCCAAATTTTACTTTGGATGCCCATCAGAAAGGTGTAAATTGTGTTGATTACTTTACAGGTGGTGATAAACCCTATCTAATCACTGGTTCTGATGATCAAACTGCTAAGGTATGCAGCTTGTTTTTACGATTTGTGTCCTGCTATCTTTGATGATAAATAAATATCGAGGAACTATTCACATATATATTCCGTGTATGCAGGTATGGGATTACCAAACCAGGAGTTGTGTTCAAACATTGGAAGGCCACACACACAATGTTTCCGCAGTTTGTTTCCATCCTGAACTTCCAATTATTATTTCCGGTTCTGAGGATGGGACAGTTCGTATTTGGCATGCTATCACTTATAGGTAATTCTTGAGATAGAAAATATTTTTGGTTTGGCATGCTTACCCTTTCCAATTTCCTGTGGCCATTAGTTTTGTGGTGAGGCTGATTTTATCTGGTCCTGCTACTATATAACAATTCACGTGTCCACTTCATTCCTCAACTTCCTCTCAGCCTTGTGTTGGTAAAAGTGATGCATTTTGGTTGTATAAAAATGTCAGCTTGAGCATCATTGAAGTAGATGTAGCAATTCACGGTCGAGAGTCACATTAGTGCTTCGCCGTTAATTTTTCTTCCTTGCATATGACTTTAGTGTTCTCTTAAGATATTTTGATTCAACAGTCTTTGATATATGTCATGAGATTTTTGAAAATTTTTCAACTTTTTGGTTAATTCATTATTTTCAGGCTTGAAAATACATTGAATTATGGTCTTGAGAGAGTTTGGGCAATTGGATATATGAAAGGTTCACGGAGGTAATTTCTTTTGGTTAAATCATGCAACAATGCTATGTTTATTTATTTATTTATTTTTTCAGCCTAACGTCTCCTAGGTTGTTTATTTATGCTCAAATACTAGAGGTCATTAACTTCTAAAACAATGCCTTTCATTTAGTCTTTGCTTGGTTAATTGGAAGGAGTCAAAAAATAGAAAGATGGAAAATATTTTTTTTCCAGCTTAGAGTTGGAAATTTAGAAGAAAGAAAATAAGGGTCTGTATGGTTGTAGAAGTATAGGCTATTTTCATTTTTTCAAGAAATAGAAAACATTGAAAAAAACATGCTTGTTGTAAAATTATAAAATGATTTCTGAAAAATAAAAACAAAAATAAGTGAAAATATGGAAACATAAAAACGATGGTTTCAATATTTTCATTAAAATTGTTTTGGAAATTTGAAAAATATAAAAACACGAAATTTGGAATTATAACTTAACCTACACATGTTTAAATCCTTCTAACAACGTATTTTTTAACTTAATGGTATCCGAAGCCCTCAAACTTTTGCAAAAAAAAAAATCAATATGCTCTTGAACTTTTTTATGCTTAATGTGGTCCTTAAATTGAACTTTTTTTAATAATTTAATTTTTTAGTATTTTTATATTTAATGTATTGAATATCATTAATTGTTTATATTTTATATTTAAATTTAAATTTAAATAATTTCTTATTTTTTCTAAAATTTAAAGAAGTCATCAGATTTTCTAAAAAAGCAATTAAGCCCTTGAACTTAGTTAAAAAAAAATCAATTAAGCCCATCTACCACATCTCCTTCCATCGTGTACTGTCACATCAACATTGTAGATTACTAGATGAGCCTCGTGACAGTCAACATTAAATTTCGTTGGTCAAAGAATTAGATTGAATTTTTCAGTTTAAGGATTACATTGAGTGCAAAAAAGGTTCAGGAGCTACACTAATTCCCCCCCCCCCCACACACACAAAAGTTTAAGGGCTTCAAATACCACTAAACATATTTTTAATTTTGTTGATACTTTTGTATGCTCTTGCTTGCAACAATATTTTTGTTTATTTTTTAAATTTAATTGATGTCCAATATTCATTGATATTATATTCTTATTATAAGGTAAAATAATTTTTGTGGTATGAAATTTCTTATCAACTTTATTGTTTTATATTTGCATAATTCACATGTTAAATTTATGTAATAAATTTTTTTAATAGTTATATTCTAATTTTATTATTTAATAACTATTTATTCATCTCTATCATAAAAAATTGGCTATCAAATATATTTTCACTATTTTTATTTCTGAATTCAAGTTTTCATTTATATGAACCAAACATGTTTCTATTTTAAAAAATGAAAATAAAAACTATTTTCTAAAAATAAAAACAGAAAACAAAACAGAAATCATTTTCTAAAACCAAACGGACCCTAAAGCTTTTGAAAATACATAAGTTTGAAATAACTAATATCTCTTACATTTTTTTCTCTTATTATTTTAATTTGGAATGGTTTGTTTTTAAAGACGAGGATAGAAAATTAGCGCTCTTCTGATTTTATTTCCTCACTTTTCTTTCCTATCAAACACACTCAAAATTTATTTTATTTTCAGTGTTTCATTCCCTCCTTCCACTTTTCGCTCAACCAAGCACACCCTCAGTTTAGAGTATTCCTATCTGCTCAAAGGCTTGAGGAGTCGATTAAAAATGTCATTCTTCTAGGATAACTAAACTTTCTTTAGTTGCATATATATGTATGTTTTGCATTTAGACTTGTGATGCTAGATTTCATGAGTTCAATTCTTCACTAGTTTACATGTCTTCTTGATAGTCAGCTCTAGTTAAAACTACCATATTGTTTTTGCTTTACAGGATTGTGATTGGGTATGATGAAGGAACTATTATGGTGAAAATTGGTCGTGAGGTACCTGTAGCAAGTATGGACAATACTGGGAAGATCATATGGGCTAAGCACAATGAAATTCAAACTGTGAATATTAAGAGTGTTGGAGCAAATTTTGAGGAGGTTTTTTTTTGTTTTGAAAATGTCTTTTTATTCATGGCACAACTTTCAGTATTGGGCTTAAGGTGATGATGTAAGCTCGTTTTCTTTTCTTAGGTTACTGATGGAGAAAGATTGCCCTTGGCTGTTAAGGAATTGGGAACCTGTGATCTGTACCCTCAGGTGAGTGTTATGAATCTTGGTGTAGGATCTAGTCACACATCTAGACGTGAAAGAATTCTTGTTCTGACCTATGGTTAATCAAAGTGGCAGATTTGTCATTGACTGAACCCCCCCCCCCAAGAATAACATTTATAATAGAATAATTGCTTCCCCTTTATTTTTTCAATATTGGTAGCCTTTTATAGACCGCTAGCGACAAAAGAAAGAGGCCTAATAGACATAAAATATATATATATTTTTTACAAGAATGGAGGCCTCATTAAAAAAACCCCTTCATAACTGTCAAAAAACCAAAGTTAACTTGACGGCCATTGGAAGGAGGAAAAGAGTGCCTCATAATTTTATTACCGTCAAATAAATCATTACATTATAACCAGCACATAACAGAGAGAACCAACAAAACAAAATAACTTATAGAAATCTAAAGGTAAAAGATCACCCAATTCCTATCTTAGCTAATTCATCCGCTTTACATTTCACAATCCTACTGACATGTTTAACAAGAACACTCTTATCCTCTACCAATTCACTAATATCCTTGACTAGCGAACTGAAAATCGCAGGAGAAGCACTCGGACACTATCCATTCCACAGCTTTACTACTATCACTCTCCACCAATAGTCTGCCCCTCGAACTCCACCTAGACTTGAAAAAGAATAATATTCCTGCTTGGATAGCCTTTAACTCTGCCAGAATTGGAGGGCCTCCCCCAACACTCTCAGAGAAAGTGCCCAACACAGCCCCGTCATCATCCCTCATAATACCACCAATTCCCCCTTTACACCAAGACTTCTCCACGGCTCCATCCCTAACTTATAGGATCTTGGCTGGCTAGACTTAAGTCATAAAGGAAATAAAAATAAAATCTAATTTAACAGAGGAAATAAATAAAACTCTAGTTTGCTCTCGTCTCTAATTTTATTCCCTTCTTTGATGTTCCTTTCCAATAAAGGCATCCACATCAGTGAGTTGACACTTCATATCCTCATTGAAATGAATTGGCCATTCCTAATTTTTTTTTTGTAAGTTCTGTTTTTATGTACCCTTTTGTCTTGTTATTTTCAGATCTTAAAGCACAATCCAAATGGGAGGTTTGTTGTTGTCTGCGGAGATGGTGAGTACATCATATATACAGCTTTGGCATGGAGAAATAGGTCATTTGGTTCAGCACTGGAATTCGTTTGGTCATCTGAAGGAGAGTATGCTGTAAGAGAAAGCTCATCAAAGATAAAGATTTTCAGCAAAAATTTCCAGGTTTGTACTATTTGTTTTTTTAGATGGTTTCTTATCTTAAAATCTGAAGTCTTAATAAAAAAAGGATGGGAGGCACACCCTGTTTCGAATGTCACACCCTGTTTCGAATGTTCAACATAGCAACAGATGAGTTGCAGCTGGAGAGTTGGATTTAGTAGGACGATTAGAACTCTGGGCAGGGAAGAGGATTTCATTCTTTTTAAAATTATTTTTAAACAAATGGATGGAATGGACTATTTCTTTAGGTGTAAAATGATAGTTTACATTATGATTGTTAAGGAACTTTAACTAATGCTGTTTTCAAGTTTCATTTCTGCAAAGTAGTTTCTTGACGGTGATTTAACATTTCCAGGAAAAGAGGAGTGTCCGACCAACTTTCTCTGCTGAGCATGTTTTTGGGGGCTATTTATTGGCAATCTGCTCCAATGATTTCATTTGTTTTTATGATTGGGCTGAATGCAGGTTGATTCGTCGAATTGATGTTACTGTGAAAGTAAGCTAAAATAACTATATGACCCCATTTGTTTCTTTTGGTTACCTTGCATCCTGAAGTTATTTTTGTTTATGTTTCTTAAATGGCAGAATCTCTACTGGGCTGATAGTGGTGATTTGGTAGCCATTGCCAGTGATACATCTTTCTATATTCTAAAGTACAATGTAAGTCTCCTTATTATAATCTACTTAGATCAGCAAAATCTTTTGCAGGTTGGGCTTTTCTTGTCTGTTAAATTCACACTGTCTTACAGTTATGCATAACTGAATCTTGTTACTTTTATGCTGTAGCGGGATGTAGTTCAATCTTATTTAGACAGTGGAAGACCAGTTGATGAACAAGGAGTCGAGGATGCATTTGAGCTTCTTCATGAAACCAATGAACGTGTCAGGACCGGCCTTTGGGTTGGGGACTGTTTCATTTACAACAACTCTTCATGGAGACTTAATTATTGTGTTGGTGGAGAGGTATTTGTGTTCTTACACTTGTCATGAAAGTGTTTCATATGTTCATGCATTGGTTTTTGTAGGGTTTGACAGTTTCTTTCTGATAATGTAATGATTTTAGGTTACCACTATGTTTCATTTGGACCGTCCTATGTACTTGTTGGGATATCTTGCAAGTCAAAGTCGGGTGTATCTGATAGACAAAGAGTTTAAGTGAGTCATCTAGTAATTGCTATTTTTACGTCAAAATGCACATTATGTTTTGCTTTGAAAGTACATTATTAATGCCTATCTATCCTCATCTGTCATATTGTACAGTGTTATTGGGTATACATTACTTCTCAGCCTGATTGAGTACAAGACACTTGTGATGCGTGGAGACTTAGAAAGGGCCAATGAAATTTTACCTTCAATTCCTAAAGAGCACCATAATAGGTATGATTACACTTTCAAAATATCCATTCTTAAAGATTATTGTTGATCATCTTTCCTGCTTGTTGCTTATACTCCAAGTTGAAGCTCTGGGACTGGAATTCATTTCTACTCCTTTCTTCTTTCCTACTTCATTTGAAATTTGTGTTCTTGATTAGTCGTTTTGTGCTGAATATTCGTTCCCCTTGTGGTTGGAAATTGGTCGTCATCTTTGGTAATATGTGTTGTATCTCCATGTGCTGGAAACTTACAATTCCAAAGCTAACATGTCTCCATATCTAGCTTACCAAAAGGCTGGTCTTTATCTTTGGGTATCTGTTCTCAGAAAGGCTTTATTTTAAAGTTTTATTGTGTTAATTTTCTCTTTATTTAAGTTTGTGATTATTGAATATTTATTGAATTTAATTGATGATTTGCTTTGATTTATAGTGTGGCTCATTTCCTAGAATCACGAGGTATGAATGAGGAGGCTTTAGAAGTAGCTACAGACCCTGATTACAGATTTGAGCTTGCTATACAGCTTGGTAAATTAGATATTGCTAAGGTAAGTTGTTTAATTGGTTTGGAAGCGGAAGTATAACTACTTAGATCCTTGTTTTTCTCCTTAATCTCTGCATGAGTCTTTGTAGTGAGCTTGATTGTGTCATTTAACAAATTTTCTATCTCCACTAGATATTCACTCTTTATTGTACAGGAGATAGCCGCCGAAGTTCAGAGTGAGTCTAAATGGAAGCAATTGGGAGAATTGGCTATGTCCACCGGAAAGGTGGTGTGCATTTTCAATTTGCCAGATTTGTTTGTGTCATCTTGCTCTGTTATGATTGTCATTCGTGGTTCTCCCATCACTTTTCTTTGTAGCTTCTCTTGCCTATATATTGGTCTCATGAGGTTGTTCCCTATCAAAATTTGAAAATATTCATTGCTGTAGCTCTATGACTGAAATCTCAAGGTTATAGGAATATAAAGCTTTGCCTTTCAATAAATATTTTTAAAATTGTCTGAGTTTTTTGGCTTAATAGGTTGTTTAACTAGTAAATAAGTTCTAGGAAGACCGCTTTTATATTTTGCTGATGTCCTTTTTAATTCTAGTGTTGAGCATTACATTTTACTGATGTGGATTTTTAATTTTACCATGAAGTAGCTGTTTGTTTAATGTTGCTCTATGGGCATACACATCATATAATTTTTTAGCTTCAGTAATGCACCCTCCACTTGTTTTCTAATAATTCTATTAATTATGCTAAATTTGTCATTGAAGCTACAAATGGCCGAGGAATGCATGAAGCATGCAATGGAACTGAGTGGTTTATTGCTACTTTATTCCTCTATGGGAGATGTGGATGGAATATCAAGACTTGCATCTCTTTCCAAAGAGCAAGGGAAGAACAATGTTGCTTTTCTTTGTTTATTCATGTTGGGTAAATTGGAGGATTGCCTCCAGCTTCTGGTGAAAAGGTAAACCTTATCAAATACCTTAAATAGTAGAATGGCCTTCATGTCATCATAGTTATGGAAATATTGATGTTTTGCTTTTGTAGCAATCGTATACCTGAGGCTGCTCTGATGGCACGATCTTATCTTCCAAGCAAGGTTTCAGAGATGGTAGCAATTTGGAGAAAAGACCTCAACGTGGTTAGTTGACAATACTCGTTTCCCTGTTTTTTGTTCTTAGTTCTTTATGGGATGGGTTAACTGTATCAATCCTTTTGTTCATTTCAATTCCACTGTTTTTATTTTTTTATTTTATGAAGTCAAAATATTTCATTTCTATAGTCAACAAATATAAGCTTTTTCCCTCTTCCTCTGTGTTTGATTCTTCCTTTGTGATGCATGAGTATTCTTTGTTTCAACTCAATGTTGTCCTGAATAACATTGTCAGAATATCTATCGTCCCTCTTTTATTTGCGATGTGACCCAGTTTATCTCGACTTGCCTTTTTTCCAGATTGATAGCTATTTTTTTGTACTTTTTTTTTATTTTATAAATTCCTGGGAAACATTAGTCTGAAATTCGTTTTACAGAGCTTTACACCCAAAATCTAAGGAAAACCTTCTCTTTTTCCCAGTCAAACATTGCAGCAGTAAAGTACTACTGGAATCTTAGACTCGGGTGGAATTGTTTTTCGTCTAATAAATCATTGATTATGTGCTTTTAAATATTTTTTTTATTTCTACTCTAAGTGTCATGATATATAATTTCTTTGTACCCTTGCAACATGAATATGTTAGACTTGCATGTTTCTTTGTAATCATACTCAAAACTACCTGCCCCCACTTGATTACTTATGTTAATAATTGACGGTACAGTTTGCATAACAATTTTGACATTATTTTTGCATTATCTGCAGGTTAATCCAAAAGCGGCTGAATCTCTGTCTGATCCTGAAGAATATCCCAACTTGTTTGAGGATTGGAAACTTGCTCTAACTCTTGAATCTCAAGTAGCAGAAACAAGGTATCAGACCTGATTCCTTGCATTATTTAGTTGTTTTATCTGTTACCATTTTGCTACCGTATTTTGATAAGCAGGATTTCTCTGTTATCTAGTGTTACGATTTCTGTGTGATCTCTTTGAACAGATCACTTTCAGATTCCGGTTATTTGGTCTCTTTTGGTTGCTCTATGGACTATGGTTTTGTACCACTTGATTTTTTAAGTGTTATTGTTTGCACATCTTATTTTTTTGTCTCACAAGGTGTACATAACTAATCCATAGAAGAGAAGATTTTCTGGAAGAAAGAAATTGTTCTCTCTCTCTCTCTCTCTCTCTTTTTACTTCAAATACAAGAAGTTTGGCTTATTAAAATAGGCTAATTACAACAGTAATGTCCTGCTGTAATTTACAATCTTAGAGTCGTATTAGGTGTTAACCTACTTAGACAGAAACCTATTCTGCCTTTTTTTTTCGATATGTCAGATTACAGGTAAAATATTAGTTACAAGAGTCTTTAAGACTTATATTGCTTAATTGCACAGCTAAAATCTACTCATGGATATGCTATTAACTTTCAAATTGATTTTAGGGGTGTCTATCCTCCTGCATCAGACTATTTGAAACATGCTGATAGATCACATATGACACTCGTGGAGGCTTTCAGAAACATGCCAGTAGAGGAGCCTCTTGAAATTGGTGACCCTGTTCACGAGGTATATCATCCATATATATATATATATGCATCTGTTTTTCTTATAGTTAGGCAACATATTGACCTAGAAACTGCTTTGATATGATTAGAATCTAGAGGAGCAGAATGGAGAAGAGGGTAGCCAAGAGGAGGCTGTTGTCGTGGATGCTGATTCTAATGATGGTGTAGTACTCGTCAATGGCAATGAACATGAAGAAGAGTGGGGTACGAATAATGAGGGAACCCCGTCAGCCTAAAAGCAATTGGTTGGGGCATTGTGAAATTCGAAATCATCTCTGGTGATTAATTGTGTCTAAAATGCCATTTCTAATCCCCTTTCTCTTTTCGGCTTATCTGACTCTGTTTTGATGATTTGTTCTATTGCAATCACTGATTACAACACATACTGGAAGCTAAATTCCGTAGTAGTATTCCTGTTTTTTTTTTCGCCTCGTTTTTTTATTTTGAATTGGGTACATGTTTGGTTGCTATAGCTCATTTTTCCCCCTCGTGTTAACAATGTTTTGTGCCGAACTTGGGTAAGCTATAGTTAAATTGAATTCTGATGCCTATATTCCGTGTACTGTTCGTATCTAATGTGTTTTTGTTTCAACTTATTGCCGTCTAGCATAAAAATGGTAATGAATTTTTTGGATGCTGTATGGCATAGAACACTAATGTGTTATATTATTTTTCATGTGATGTTTTCGGCATTTCTTTTTTTCTGTAATGCCACAATTCTTATAAAAATTTCCCCTGTTGGCAGTGGTTACACCAGATCACGTGGTTTCGTGAAGACATTCAGTTCGAGCTCCATTCAGAACATATTTAAGGTGAGAAATCATAGTCATCATTGTTTCTTAAAGGATAATTATATTGGTTAGAATTCAGTTTACACATGACCGAGTTTGGGTTTGTGCAAACCCCCCAGTTTTGTCTCATTGGATTGGCACTTCAAAGATGCTGGTACATCTCGGTCATCATTTTGAATTTGAATCTCTTCGGTCTTTCAGAATTCTAGTTTCGTATTTATTCTTTCCCAGATATATATCTAAATGCAGTGCGTTAATAGGATTAGAATTTTCTCTTCGGATTTTGACATATTTGGAATAGGAAATATATTAAAATAAAGATACTTCTATAGAACTCGTGAAATAATATAGTTTTCTTTCTGTACCAAACGTGGAAGCTAGAAACAAGTGATACAAGAGGGCCGATTGTCTTGTGTTCCTGGAGGTTTAGTTGGATCTATCGACGGTCATAGAATTTTGGAATGGGGCAGAATACACAGTGGATCCTGCTCATGCCGTATGTATGTCATCCAGCGTATTCATATACCCGTGTGTATTATTCTGTGTATTTCTACAAAATTTGATACGTCTACATTGTGTTATAATATTAGTTTTAATATTGAATCATCATGTTTAATTATAGTGATTTAAACCATTATTAGATCAAAAATGAAAACATGCCTACAAGTATAGTTCCGCGATGATTTAGTTGTTTCTAAGGAAGGGCACGGGACCCGATCCCGATAGGTGATTTGAGTTGATCTTATAAGTCAGGCATTTTTTTTTAAAAAAAAATAAGATTTGGATCGGGTTCAAATTTATGATAAAAAATATCTTATTTGACTCGATTCAATCTAAAAAATAATGTAGTTATATCTTATTTATTTATGGATATAATTAGGGATGACAAAAAAATCCGAACCCGACGGGGAAAATCGAAAATTGAATTAAACGGGGATAGGGAAAAATTGTTTATGTTAAACGAGGATGGGAAAAAATCGTTTATGTTAAACGGGAATGGGGACGGGTTTAGTAATTTTCACCCCGATTACCCGGCTCGATATCCAGCCTGATATCTGGCTCGATAAATATTAAAAATAATTATTTTATATATATATATATAATATTAATAAATTTAATTTAAATTAATATATATATATATATATAATATTTATATATTTAATTTAAATATATATATCTGGCCCGATACCCGTTTAAATAATTGTTTATGCTAAACGGGCCCGTTTCCTTGCAGTTTTACCTGATTACCCGATGGGGATTCCCGTTTAAATTCCCGTGATTTTTTAAGCGGAGACGGGTATAGATTTTTTAAACGGGGACGGGGGACCAATACCCGGCCCAAACTCGGCCCGTTGCCATCCCTAGATATAATGTGTTTTTTTTTGGTAATTCGATTTTTATTTTTATTGAATAAAATTAACATTTTTATAAATATTTTCGTTTTGGATTGAGTTGGGTTCGACTTTTTTTCTCAAAAAAGTGGGTCGGATTCAGGTCAAAGGAAGTCACCCTAAATTTGGGTCAGGTTTGGGTGGAGGGTGTATATATTTTTGGTCTATTAGAAATTAGATCCAATTCGATCCACACTCTTCCCTAGTTGTTTCTAGGGACGATTTTGATCAATTTAAGGCTACTTTTGACAACTAGTTCTCTGTAAGGAATATAAAGAGAGGTTATGAGCTTGTTTTTAGATCTAAATTTGACAACTATCAAATACATACAAAAGGCTGTGCATTATATCTTTGGGGATCAATTTTGTGCCCATTTTATAAAAGAATTGAGATACGTTGTTTGGGTATATTTCTTGTAGTCTGTGACTTCGTCGCAGTACAATCATATTTGTCTTGGAAGACCCTAAGCGAATTGAAAAATCAAGAGGAGGAATTGAGAAAGGGTTGGATTGATATGGTGGCTACTGAAAATGATTTTTCATTCAATTCAGATTATGGTGGTAATATATATTCGCATGACCAAATTGTAAACCCTTGGGGGATAGTCAGATTTGTAGTTAAACCTTTTGATCCCACTCAGAATGGAGAATTATATAATATATGCATTATGCGAAGGGATTTCCTCCAACAGAAGAAGAAGACGACCTGTAGATTGCAGGGGTGAAGAATTCGCCATTAGGATGCTGGTTGGTGTTTAAAGTACTCAAATGCTCACTATTAAGGATGAGAAATGAAGTTACCTTGCAGGTGGTGCGCTCTTGGGAAGTTGCTGCCCAATATATGAACCTGAGGTTTATATATATATATTTCAGATAAACAAATAAAAAAAATGACGTGATAAATAACAAGAAATACATGAATGTCTGCAAAATCCAAATAACACTTTTACGTATCAAAACTTATAAAGTATTTAAACATGACAAGGATACACAAACCGTCTCGTCTGCAAAATAATGATAAGTGGCATACAGAAAAACCCTAGAAAGATGGGAACTTACCTGAAGGATACGACTGTGGTGGCAACCATTGAATTTGAATAGAAGGCGAATCAAGGCTGGAAGACTGATAAATTTGGGGATACCAATATGTTTGGTTGAGATACATGCCAAGAAGTCATGGAAGGTGATTGTAACATGTACCACAATTTAGCAATCGTTAATACTTTCAACTGCATGTAGAAAATAATCTAAGATACCTGCTTCACTATGACACTAGGTTCAGGTACCAGTGTTAAATACAAATATTTGTTCGACATGGAATTTTTTTTTCTAAAGCATTTCCATGTATTTGGAAGATTATATCTCCATACTTGTATTCAGATATGCTGCCTGTGACTAGGATTGCAAGGAACTAAAACAAGTTCCACACAGCACAAAAATAACCAGAATTAGCTTTCTGAAAAATGACGTAGAAGAAAATCATATAGCTTATTCGGTGAAAACTAAAGATGAAAACCTCTAGCACAAGTTAGATAATCGTTCATTAGAACAACTAAAGATGAATTTGGATGTGTACCATTGTTGCTGGATTTGCTGGTTGATATACTGTTGGCATTTTCTGTAAAAGAAACCACAGATTAGATTAGAAAGTTTTTACGAAAAGAGAATTCTTATTCTGAGAAGAATTACCGCCACCGGAGAATAGTGCAAGCCATTGTTCATGACATGGACTTGCCACCCTGGGGATTGTATGGGAGCAGGTGAATATTGTAAGCCTTGCTCCATGATGTGGGCTTGAACAGCTTGGCACCTAGAGGATTGTAAAGGCACATGTAAATACTCCAAGACAGGCTGCATGACGTGGGCTCGAAGTGCTTGCCACCCTGGGGATTGTGCAGGAGCTGGTGAAGGGGTTGCTACAAAAAGATGCTGCAGAACAATCAGAATATAGTTACTAAACAAGAATAGAACTCATCTCTTCCTTATTTTCACTTGAAGGAAATGTATGCATAGAAAATAGGAAATGCAAATTTCTCAACACTAATGAAAAAATGAAAATGTGCAACAAATGTACTTCAGTTTACCTCTGGAAGTTCTTTTCTCTCACTGGATGTCTGCTCTATTGGGGGCGGGGCAGAATCCGGTATGTGTAGAGGATCAGTCCCCTGACTCTGCACAGAGAACATGAAGAAATACTCCAGAGTAAGAAAGAAACCTATTAGCATAATTTCTATCCTTTATTTTGCATAAAAGATGAAAATTATCCGTAAAATATGTGGATCTCAAATATCTCTATGCCAAGCATTACAGCTCTGAGTTGATTGCCAACGTAAATGAACAGAAATAAACTTCAATTTACCACTTGAAATTCCTCATGTTCCGAAGGTAGAGACTCCATTACAACTCCAAATATGGCCTGAGGAATATTCTGTGGGACAAATTGAGATGATTGCACATTTGGATTGCTTGAAGGAACAGGGGAAGTAGATTGAATGGCAGTATCTGGGAATATAGAGCACAGAGGATGTGCAGTATCTTTCTCTTGTTCCATCTGATTAGTGTTGCTAGAGGAACCACCATTACTAGTAGCCAATGACGATAAGGCACTCTTTAAGGAACCTTTTGGACTGAGGAAACTGGAAGTAGGGAATGAAGTCGATACATAACTTCGTTGTGTAGCAGGAGAAACATCATCACCGCTAGGTGTCCTAAGTATGTTAATAATTTCAGCAGTGAGCACACCACCTGTACTCGGTTCCTTTGACACAATGTTCCTATGTTTAACCACAGGAGCTACAGAGTCCAGGATTTTTTGCTTTTGAAGCAACCTTCGCTCAACTTCTCGGAGTAAGACAGTCAATGCTCACTGGATTATTAGAACATGGTGAACTAGCTGGTTTTGTAATAGAATGACTACTGGATTTTGTGATTGTTTTGAAGAAGGCTCAGGTTCAGAACTGATATTTACTGGGCTTTCTAAAGTGTGCTTTTCGTTTCCCATAGAATTTAGGCTACTAGGTTCCGTACAATGTGCATCACTTTTCCTTGGTTTAGTAGTAGATTCGGTCCTCTGCAATGAACATTTTTACTAGAATCAGAGAAGACACATTCCAGAATATTATAGGAAGATGCTAATAAACCAATTCTAACACGTATATTACAATCCAAGCCATGAGGATTCATCCATTTATACAACATAAAGTTGTAAATAACAAGATAAATAACTTTCTAAAAGACTATATTCATAACATACTTACAGGAAAACCATGACAATAAATAACTTAGAAAATACTTGGTAAACACCAATTATAAAATAACACAAGAAAAGCATACAACTTCTACCCTAACTGTTACGAATGATGTACAAGATAAGCAGATAAGAGTGACTAACTTGCATAGGACTAGGCCTACCGCCATCTTTTAGAGCTTCACTTAGTCGCAGAGAGGGGATTCTATCTAATATATAACTAAGAGAATGCACTTCTCGTGACCTGGATGAATCCAGTGCAGTATGCTGGTTTGAGAGCCTTCCCTGCAGATCGTATGTCTTTGGAGTTTCAGATATATAGTCTCGAGATCTATCATCCACTACCTCAAAGTAGGTAGAAGTTCTCTTATGATCACCATGCTTTTCAGATTCTTTACCATTTCCAAGATTTTTCTTTCACCATAACTGTTTCCCGATTCTCTATCACATTTCTTCCACTGAATCCAGATCTCTCTATGCTGTGTTGTTCATAGGTATCTGAAAAAAGCATTCTATGAAAACCACTGCGATCACTTTGTTTTTGAGATTCTTTACCATCCCCATTATTTCTTCTTTCACAGAAACTGTTTCCTCAATCTCTTTCATCGCTATTTCCACTAAGTCCAGATCTCTCAATGCTGCATTGTTCATAGGTATCTGAAGAAAAAATTCTATGAAGGCCACTGCAATCACCGTGTTTTTGAGATTCTTTACAGTTTCTACTATTTCTTCTTTCCCCGTAACTGTTTCCTGAATCTCTTTCATCTTTTCTTCCACTAAATCCAGATCTCTCAGCACTGCGTTTTTCGAAGATCACCGAAGAAAGCATGGCCTCCACAAAAATTTCTTTGAGTTATGACCATTGGAGGTCCTCCAACAACAGGAATAAATCGTCATCTATAGTAAGTAAGAAAGACTTTCCCCTAGCCTATGAACTTTGATCTCGCTCAAGCCCCACTGCAGGTGTCTACTCCTGATACTCCCCACACTACATACAGTAGCCATCACACCAACTAAGCATTTTCTCATCTTCCTCACCTCTTCTTCTTCAACATGCCCAGGACGCTTCTTCTTGCTAATCTGCACTGGTCACTCGCAACCCCTAATCTCCTTCCCATGAATTCTTCCTGTTTAGGTGGAGATTCATTCTCTTAACACTAGTCAACCTATCTCTCTTTTCGTATTTAGCCAACCCTACAAAGATACGCTTACCATAGATGTTTGATCCACTTAGCTTCTCAATCATTTCCAGTGCTTCATCCCTATGATCCATCCTTACGAATGCAAACCTTGTTCCTCCTCTACTTTGTTTACTTACAATGAACACACTCTTTACTTTTCCATGTCTGCCAACGAGCTGCCACAATCCCTTCCAATGAAGAGCATCTGGTAGATTATCTACGAACAAGGTTGGCGACTCCATTCTCCTTGAAGTTGTTAAATGGTTGCCTTTTCCCAAGATAAGAAATTGTGTAAAAAAATGTTAAGTATTGTCATTGGATGATAAGTTTAATTTGAGTACCATTAGCATGTCATATAGTCCATTTGAGCTCATGTCATATTGTGGATTACGATTCATGAATTATGATCCTTATTTGACGATGTTGAAAGGAAGTTGTTGGTCATTGGTGATGTGGAGAGAGGCCATTCTGATGACAAGAGGGAAATTATTGGTCATTGACGATGTGGGGAAAGACCATTCTCAATTATTTGGTGATGTGTATGAAATTATGTATCCATAACTACTTATAATCCAACGGGATAAGTTACTGAATTAATATGATTATGATTCTATACAAAGAAAGTTGATAAATGATTTGGTCATGATTATTTGATATCTTAAATTTACAAGTAAGCAAAGTATACGATAATAAGAATTGTTATTTATGTAGTAAGTCCAAGCATGTTATAGGTTATTGTTATGATTACGAACACAATGAGATAAACAATGAAAGTCGTATACTAAATTGTTATTTATATGATAACTTATTGTCATGAAAATTTCATGTTATGATATAAATTCTTATCACGAAGGATATGTGTTATGGTATATATTCTTATCATGAAAGTTAGATGTTATGGTATAAATTCTTTTCATGAAATGATATAAGATTTTACCACGAGAGTTACCTGTTATGATATAAGTTATTGCTATCAAAGTTATTGTTACAATATGTTTATTATGTGGCATTTGTAATTCAAACATGTCAAGGGCAAATTAATATGTTATGTTCATTGATTTGTATTGTGTTAACTACGTCACTAAGCTATATAAGCTTACATACTCTTTGTTTCATCATTTTAGGAAAATAAGTTCAATAGCTCTTTTATTGTAGTTAGAACGTTGTAAGTCACTTCCAAAGTATTCAGTGTAATTTCATTTTATAAAAACTTCTAAATGGTGGCATAATCTTTGGTTGTATAGTTAGTATATAATTAGGGTTTTGTATTATTTAATTTGGTTAAAAGTTGTCTATGTTGAATTTAAATGAATGTTTGTGCTAGTGATAATAAAGTTTTTTTATTACTACAATGAAGGTATGGTTTCATTAGCAAGTTTATAATTATGAAGTCGTAAAGTGCTTTGGTTTCATGATTACATGACTTATGTCATCTTCGATAAGTTAAGTTGCAAGAAAATATTGAATGTACTTAATATGCTTGAGTTAGATGATTGTAAATGATTGGTTATAGTTAATGTCATATAAGTTTTGTGTGAGATGTTTTCATGATTTTTGAATGTTGAGTATGAGTAATGTAAAATAAGAATCATAAATATATCTTGCAATTATAGGTTGAATTGGTATGAAACTATAGTTCTTGATTCTATGTTAAATGTGTTTGTATGTATTATTTATGTTTGGATTGAAACGGTATGTTTAATGTCTAAATTAGTTATAAGGTAAAAGCATAAGAAGTGTATAATAATTTGTAAGTTAATTTCTCGAATGTTGAATAATTATAATTTAGTCTCTAAACTTATGAAACATTACAAATTAGTCTCTAATCATTACTTAGGGTTATCAATGTATTAATAAGATTAGTTATGTATAAGAATAACATAATATTATATATTTTAATTTTAGGTTATAAGTTTCAATTTTAAGTTAATTTATGATTAAGATCATCTTAAGAGATCCATAATTAGTATCATAAGTTACGAGAGAGTAAATTATATGCATTAATTTCAACTTGGACTAATTACTAATATTAAGATATTTGATATGTTCATGATAATAAATTTATGTGACAATCTTCATTTAATTCTTCAAACTTTTGAAAATTTTCAATTTGATCCTTAAGTAAGATAACACTTTCGAAATTATTAAGGATATTGATAATCAACATGTGTAGCATGTATGGATTTTATGTCTAATGTATGTTCAAGTAATGATCCTTAAAGTTTTAAAATGTGTGGTTAGATGATATAGCAGCGACAACGGATAAATAAATGTTGCTCTTGTCGAAGAATCAAACCTAGAAAGCTCTAGACTCGATCAAGGAGCGAGAGGAAGATGGAAGAGGACGATGTATGACATATAGGGTTTTATGGAATTTAGGTTGCTAGAAAATTGAACAAAAGAGATAAGATGATGATAAATAAGATAGAATAAAGAGTAAAAATAAAATAAAAAAGATAAAGAATATAATAGGATAGAAATAACTTAGCTAAAAGTAAGGTTTTAGTGATGATGGGTGAGAATGGTGATTTGATGATGATGATGGAAAACGATAGATAAGTGTCTTATGAATCCTCATAGTCACAATTAACTAAGCAAACTCGATAATCGACTCTAACCAGCCCTCTTAATTATAATGAAGGGGCAAACCGGAGTGTGAAGATTGTCGAAACGCTTTTCACATGGTGGGAGCGAGATTTTGAAAAGCCACATCATTTTTAATTATCTTCTTTGTGATTGATTTTAAATTAAAAACAATGTGATCTTAGAAAAACCTCTCGTTTCGAAAATTCGAAAGTTCATTCATGATAGAAATACAGGTTCGAAGAGTCGCCACCAATCTTTGATTAGGGTGTGATTGGGCACCCAAAAATGTTTTGCCATTTTAAATAAAAAGTTAATTTTAATTAAAACAACAAATTTAGGTATACATTACCAAAAATTCGAGTTCGAGAGTCGGTTACGCGTGGGGGATGATTAACACCCCCACAGCGCCCTAAATCGGTATCTCGTCGATTAATTAATGTCTTTGCAATGAAATTTACAAATTCGAGTTTAATTTGGTTTATGATCCCTTAAACAACCACATACGAATTTTACGTCATTCAAAAGCACCAAAGCAAATTAAATTAAAATTACCAAGTCTTTAGAAAGATAAAGAATGTTCGATTATTTAAAAATATCGAGACCATATCTTAAACAGTTATAACAACATTTTCCCGATAAGTTTAAATAGCCGGACATTTATTTTTATTCCGTTCCCAAATTTTAAAGTGATAGATCAATTTTTTTTAAAAGTGTCAATAATGGGATATACTTTTCATTTAAAATCGTCAAAAGCGGATATCTAATCATTTAATACAACCCACTTAAAATAATTTTAAATTAAAAGGATATTACCCTTAATTCGATTATGTAAATACGTCGAGTTATGCACATGAGGCCAAGATGCAAATTATGCAAAAAGGATGTCATGTAAAAATTAATTAAATATGCGATTAAAATAAATGAGTAAATAAATCTAAAGCTAAAATCAATATTAAACAAAGATCACAAAAAAAACCTATCCATGCGTTATATATTCTAAGATCAAAGTACAACCGAGGCCACCTATAAGACTAAAATGAAAATCGGGAAAATGCTGTGCCAAATATGCAACATCACAGAAACTTAAAATAACATACCCACATGACTAAAATGTAACATGCAAAAACCTTAAAGTCTAAAATCTAAACAACATAAATGAAACAAATCAAGATTTAGGACGAAAATTAAAAGAACTCGAAATAACAGGCGAGAAATATAAACAACACAAAATGCAAATTAACTAACGAGATGGTCTAAAATAAACATTATGAAATTTAAGAGCCGAATACATAAAGTTGTGAAAAACTTAAAACAACATGGCCCGTACTAAAATGTAACAAATATAAAGATAGAGAGCCAAATTCGAAATTTACTAAGAAATATAGGGGACTTCGGCGTAGTTAAACCTCTCAACTTCTCTCATTCTTTCTCCCTCAACCATCACCGAAACCCCTAAAATCCATGGCCTCCGCCATGTAATGACTCCAATGAGGAGTCACGCCGGTACTAGCCTTACCTGTAAAACCCCAAACCCCTAAGCTTCGAATATCTCACTATAACAACGAAAACCTAAGGGTTAAAATGACCCCCTAACCTTACTGCCGAACCACGCGACCACCGTGGGTTCCCTTCTCGTCTATCAACCTAAACTTTCAAACGAAAACCTAAATCTCTCCCATCAAAACCACCTAGGTCTCTAACACAAATCACAAAATCGAAGGTTTAGGGCGGTTACCTTGGGTGACTGGTTATGGTTCGGACTCCAAGCGACGAATAAGGTAAGGTCTTATTTGTTTCTTTAGTTATTTTGGCTTTTTGGTTTATGGTGGGTATTTTGGGTTCGACTGTTTTGCTTGTGTGTATCCCGTTGGTGATGGCCACTAATGGTTCATTTTTTGACTGGATTCTTTCGTTACTGATGATGGTTTCTAGTTCTCTCATCTCTACGGTTGTTGGTTCGTAAAAAAACTAGTAAACTCCTGGATTCTCCTTTTAATCCCTGTTATTTCTAGTCAATATCCTCATTTTTTTCTTCCCCGTGTTCTGTTTGTTTGGTGTGCAGGGCCCTCCTTTCGGGTATGGTGAGAACAGGTGGAGATAACGGTAGCCTCAGTCTCGGTGGATGGCCGACAAGGCGTGGTTCTCCCTTGATAAGTTCACGCACTATCTCGGATTCTCTATGCATACTGGTTTGACACCCAAGGAGGACTGGGAGCCATTGGATCTCGTTAGATCCAACGGTGGCAGCTTGGCGGCGTCAGAACTTAGACCAAAAACCCTAATGGTCCCTTGATCTGGACCGTTAGATGAGAAGCAGATCTAACGGTCCAGGGCATGCGGTGGCTGGGCAATATGATGGAGACTAGGGTTTCCATAATTGAGCTACAAAAATGGGCTTCAACATCCAAGCCGGGCCTGTTTTGATTTGGACTCTATTTGAGCCAACCTGGTCCAATCTGTTGTAATTTGGACTGTAACAAACATAAATAAGACATTAATTAGTATTTATTTATTTACTTATATTTATATATATATATATATATATATATATATATATATATATATATATATATATATATATATATATATATATATATATAAGTAGGATACTATTTATACGTACTCATAATAATAAACATACTTGTATGTATTACTA